TATGAATCTGCCTTGAAAATGTCTGTTAAATAACCAAATGTATCTGCTAAACTAAGTATATTTTTCCTATTGTCTTTACATTCATTTTGTCTCTTCTACATATATGCTCCACCTGAGTATATTTACACAAACACAAATTTCTATTTATCAATCTGACAGATTTTTATTTCTTTAAACATTATTATTTATAATGGATACACTCTCAGCATATTTTTTATACAGTTTCTTGTATATTCAAATATATACCGTTTAAACTGATACTCACACTCAAAGTGGACATTAAAGTCAACATCCAGTGGCGACCGTCTGATTCATGCTTACAATCAATCATCAAGGCATGAAACAATGTTGCTGCTGGGTGTCAATTTCAATATCCACTTTCATATTTACATACACTCTATCGCTGATATTAGCACATAACCCTTAAATATAGCATACCTTGAAACAATATTTTTATCATATATATATATATATCTCCATATATCCATATATTTTTCATTTCTCATTCAAGTATGAAAACCTGTAAAATGTTTTAGTGTAATATATTCATCAAATTGTTAAAGCATTTGAATAAATGTACGGAAAAAATTTAACAAACCTTTGTCTCAATGGAATCTTAAATAATTAAGATGAGACATCATTTTAGACTAAAACTTGCAATCGATACAGATGAAGTAACAAACTTTAGACTAAACAAATAAGAAAACCAACCAAAAAAACAATGATAAAATAACAAATAAACAAATTAAATAATAAATTAACTGTTGTAGCATACCTATGGATGATAAGTATGTTGGTCAGCAGTCGGAGATTCGTCTCTACCTGTGTTGGTCAAACTCTCTGTCTCTGAACAGTGTCGAAGAGCAGTCTCATCTTGGGAAACAGCTACCCAACCCCGGTTTATACAGGGTCTACAGGAAATTTTTGGTCAAGCCTACGGGCTTGAATACCCTGCATTAAATTCGGCCTTGTGCCACATCTGACCACATGGGTGGTTGGTAGATATCCTGCAGTTGAAGATCCATTATGGAATTCACATGACTCGCTTCTTAGCAGTTGACTACTTCTGTGTGCCGCTGGTGAATCTTGTATGTATTGTTCTTGTCCTAAGTATTATCGTTCATTACCAACCTTCATGTGATTATTCTATTCAGTAACCTTCTCTAGGTTACAACATGTTGGCAATGAGGATTAGCCCTGAGGAGACAGCACTGCCCTGGGTCAAGAATATGACTGTTGGAAGACTGTCTGGCAACAGGACTCTGCACCATGCCACACAAGCAGGAGAACCCAGTCATGGCTGTTAGACAATTTTTGTGACCACATCACCCCTTACATGTGGTCACCTAACTGCCCAGACTGTAACCACTTTGATTATGTCTGGGGTGCAGTTGAGCAAAACTCTTTGTAACACCAAAGATGAACTGAAAGCAAGGATTATGGCACCATTCACCAGCTTATACAAGGAAACCGTCCAGAAGAGATGTAGGAGATTTTGTCGTCTTGAAGTCACAGTTGAAGCCAATGATGATTTTATTGAATAAATTTACTCTTAGTATTTCAAGATATTTTTGTGCAATTTTTGTAAATATATATGTTAAAATGAGATGTCGGTGTTAACTTCTTTTTTCATTTTTGCGTAATTTAGATGGAAATTTATCCATCACACACACTTATATATATATATATATATATATATATATATAAAATCCCCTAATGATTTAGGAAACTTTCTAAAGTTTAAAAGATGATTTCACCAAAAAGAGTAAATGTAGTTGGCGAGAAAGACAAAATGATGCCATTTATTTATTTATTTTTTCAGTTTATTTCACCCTAACCAAAGACCATAAATGTTCAGACATGGGACACAATAGTAACTTGGTAGAAGGATGGCTTGATCAGTCATTTTATATTCCCTGAACTTTTGGATAGCACCTCATACATGCTATGTCAGCCATTTTGAGTGCTTGCGATGGAGCAAAATGAATAAACTTTCTTAATCAAGGTTTCATTTGCTTTCTAATTCCAATATCCTTCCAGCCTGCATTTCTGTTTAAATTACCTCATTATTAACTATGCTCACACACTGGCCACCATCTCAGCCACTAAACATTCTCATTAATTTATTGTAAGCCTGATGTGTGGAGCATCTTGATTAAACAGACTACTGTGTCAACTGATGAAGTTAACAAGACCCTTTTGAATTGGCACCAACACTTTAGGCCTGTGACATAGTGAAATACTTGAATTAAGCAAGTCTAATCTGTATGTGTGTACACATTAAACAAATAAACATTGACTCTTGTAGATCTTTTTGATGTATAATTTTTCCTTATAAAAGAAAAAAAATTGTAAACCATTGAGGTATACAGCCAAGCTGTTGATGCGATATTCAAAAGAAAGAACTATTTCTTTTTCTCCAATTGAGTGAAAAGAAAAAGAAATACTATACAATAATCACAGACAAAGCAGACTGAAAAAAAAATATTGATCTGACTAAAACGAACAAATCTCACCTTTTTAAAACTGATCTATCTTTTGTCAGGTACAATTGTCTGTAATGAGAATTAAACTACAAAATTTAGCCAAAAACTGTCGGAAGAAATAAACTTGCTAGACTTTTTGTCTTGCATGTATGCATGAATGTCTTCTTATTTGTATAGGTAATCTTTTATTGATTAATATTGATATTATATAATGTTTATTTTTATGTCTGTCTGGTGTAGGCAATAGATAAACCAGAATATCTTTTATTGATTGGGATTGCCTACTGATGCTTTTCCATCTAGTTTTGTTCTGAAGTTCACTTTCATTTCAACATGAAGCCATTTTGTTTTCTCCTACCTACATTCTTCATTTTCTTTTTCTGTCAATGTTAACTTTAGATTTTCTTTGATTCATTTCTTTTTATTTCTAAATATTATTTTAGTTGTTGCTTGTTTCAGCCATTTTTTTTCTTTGATCTTTTTGACTTATCCATATTTCTTACCTGCCTTCATTTATTTTCTATAGCTTTCTGAAAGTCTTTATTCTATATTTATAAAGAAGAGTATTACTTACACCAAAATAATTGTTCATGAATTAATAACAAATGATAATAATACCTTTTTAGTGTTTGATATAGTTGATAAGAGTGCCAGGAAATTATTTACAATATTATAACCTTTCTTTCCTGGTTTCTTTCTGCTTTACTTTCTCTACCAATTCCACATTTACTTGTTTCTTTCTGCCACATACTTTCCACCATTTTGCTGATTTTTGTTTTATTCTGATATCCTTCTCCTAATATCTCCTTTAAAGTAAGCACCATTTCTGGCTCAAAAGCTTTGCTTACAAAAACCTGTTAAATGTTGTTTTGAAATTAACTGATCCTGGGATTTTCAAACAGGAATTTAAATGAGATCTTAAATCGATTTTCTGTCATTGTTGAAATCACTGTCATATTTGACCTGCACATGTTGTCTTTGCATAGCAGATGTTGAACCTTAAAAAGATTTACCTCCCCTTTTCAATTGCATTTATATATTGTGATTTTTAGACCAGTAAATATTTTGTGATAGATGAGTGCAAAAGAAATTGTATAAATAATTGAGTCAGTTATATTTCAAGTTTATTAGGCTTTTATTTATCTTCTTTAATATTTATCCTTTTTATTACAATACTATAATATTTATTACAATGTTTTTTTTTATGTTCAATGAGATTGAGTCACTCTAGTATATATGTAACCTTATTGATTTGGCTATGGAGACACATCAGCAGATAGTTTAAATTTAGTCAGCTACATTTTCTCCCTGCCATATTGTTTGTGAAACGGATTTGAACATGATAATAAAATAATATGCAAGATGTGTTAGTTGTAAATGAATAATAAAAAGGCTCAATAATAATAAAAAGAGGATTTGACAGCAATTTAACAAATAAGGTAAAAAAAATAGCCATGACAATATTTGCAATAATGTTGTGACAGATAACTAATTTGTTTATTTGCCATTAATGTTCTGTCTTATGTCTAGTTCTCCTTGATTTTCTTAAGTAGTTTAAGATATCAAGCATTTTGATATGAAATATTGACTACAGACCCTGTTTGGTTGTTTTTACCAAATCCCATTTGAAATACTATGACACAACAAGGCCTGTGCATCATTAGAACACATACTCAATCAAGTGGACTCTGAATGATTTTATCTAAGTCTAGTGTTTTTATGACCAGCAGTAAAATCTACAAAGTAAGCTCTTCAAAGCAGCCACCTTCTTGACCAAAAAAGAATCAAATAGATAAATAAAAACTTTTGGGAATAAGTGCCACTTGGCCGGAAGTTAGAAAGTTTCACCTACAGGTTTGTATAAGTAGAGTTGCTATTATGAGAGGAACCATCTGTCTAACCAGTCATATTTGTGGTAGATGCTGTTTTCCTTATAGCTCTTCTTTGCTATCTTTCTCAAAAATGCATGGCAGATAATAAACTAAAGGAATCTGTGGAGATGCATGATTGACTTCATGTGATGCTATGGATCTCCCATGTGACTGCCTTAGAACACACAAGAAAATGATTTTTATTGGAGTCTAGTGTTTTTTTTATGACCAGCAGTAAAATCTATAAAGTAAGATCTTCAAAGCAGCCACCCACTGAGTAAAAGCTAATAGATAAATAAATTAAAACTTTCAGGAATAAGTGCCACTTGGTCAGAAGTTAGAAAATTCCATTTGCTGGCTGATATAAACAGTCACAGTTAGAAGTGAATGTACTTCAGAGCATGCCTGTTAGTGGGATACAGGCTGTTTGTTGAAGGAGTTCACCAGTTTAAATCTAGGGAGAACTGTTATCTTCTCAACATATCCACATAAACTGTGCCTATTACTCAGTAACCTTCTACCTTGAGTGTCTCCTGGGCCTTGTACAGGGTGAACCTCAATTTAGAAAAAAGAAAAAAAGTTGCCCATTAAGAGAGGAGTTTCTAGTTGTATGTAAAGAAGTGCAGAGGGGAAAATCTTGTCTATGATCACAGAAGTGGCAAACAATGCCCCAAATGTTACCTACTCCAATCACCCAACTGGAACAAGAATTGAGACCCAGCATAAGGTGGTTTGTCAGGTTAGTGAAAGACAGATGTACCATTATATTCACAATGGTTTTACAAGTATATTTTTTTTTTTTTTTTAATCATTTCATCTCAAGCAAGGCAGTAAAGCCACTAAGACACAAGTAGTTACTGAGCATGAAAGAATAAGAAAAAAGAGAAACATTATTAAGGAGTGAGAACAGAAGAGTAGTAAAGAAGACAGTTGATAACTACTGACATTGCATTTAAATTTTTGAAGATCAAAATTGGCTGGAAAGCATGTAGCCAGAAGAGTTCCACAAGTGAGAAGTGGGAGAGAAGAAACTGTTAGCATAGAACTTATGGTTGCATCTAGCCAATTCCATTGTAAAATGATGAGACCTTGCTGCCAATCTAGTACTGTGCTTAAATTCATAAAGTCTGGGTACCATAGTGAAGAGTATTTTATTATTTTTGATAGTATTGTCTCTTTTTAGACCTCCCCAAAGTTCCCAGGGGTTTCACTATCTCCTGGCTATACTGGGAATCCTGTCCCATCATAGAACTTTCTCTTTTGGAAGAGAGTACCCCCCCTCTCTCTCTCTCTCTCTGTCTGCCCATACATAACATTTTAAACAACACAATCTTGGGTACATAGATGTGATTTATCCTGATAATAAAGTTTAAATAAGAGAATGAAGGGAATTTGTAGTACTGTTTGGCAATATACATTATAAAATTTTAATGTCCTTTTAATCTTTCATTTAAATAACGTTACTGGTACTTTTCTATTTGGATTTGAAAGTTCCTGATAAGGACTTGAAGCCAAGGATCTGTGAAAAAAACTCCAATCTATGTAAACTTGGTATTTAGTCATTGACTTCTATCTTTCCATTCTCCTTTTTTCTCTCTCCATCTCTCCCCTCTTTTTGTTCCTTCATCGCTCTCTCTCCGCCTCTTTTTGTTACCCCATCTCTCTCTCTCTCTCTCTCTCTCTCTCCCTGCGTCTTTTTGTTCCCCATCTCTCTCTCTCTCCCTACGTCTTTTTGTTCCCCATCTCTCTCTCTCTCTCTCTCTCCCTGCGTCTTTTTTGTTCCCCATCTCTCTCTCTCCCTGCGTCTTTTTGTTCCCCCATCTCTCTCTCTCTCTCCCTGCGTCTTTTTGCTCCCCCATCTCTCTCTCTCTCTCCCCTCGTCTTTTTGCTCCCCATCTCTCTCTCTCTCCCCTGCGTCTTTTGCTCCCCCATCTCTCTCTCTCTCCCCTCGTCTTTTTTGTTCCCCATCTCTCTCTCTCTCCCTCGTCTTTTTGTTCCCCATCTCTCTCTCTCTCCCCTCGTCTTTTGCTCCCCATCTCTCTCTCTCTCTCCCCTGTCTTTTTGTTCCCCATCTCTCTCTCTCTCTCCCCTCGTCTTTTTTGTTCCCCCATCTCTCTCTCTCTCTCCCCTGCGTCTTTTGTTCCCCCATCTCTCTCTCCCCTCGTCTTTTGTTCCCCATCTCTCTCTCCCCCTTCCGTCTTTTTTTTCCCCATCTCTCTCTCTCTTTTGTTCCCCATCTCTCTCTCTCTTTTGTTCCCCATCTCTCTCTCTCTTTTTGTTCCCCATCTCTCTCTCTCTTTTTTTGTTCCCCCATCTCTCTCTCTTTTTTGTTCCCCCATCTCTCTCTCTTTTTGTTCCCCATCTCTCTCTCTCTTTTTTTCCCCCATCTCTCTCTCTTTTGTTTCTCTTCCCCATCTCTCTCTCTCTTTTTTGTTCCCCCATCTCTCTCTCTTTTTTCTCCCCCATCTCTCTCTCTCTTTTTGTTCTCCCCCATCTCTCTCTCTCTTTTTGTTCTCCCCCATCTCTCTCTCTCTTTTTGTTCTCCCCCATCTCTCTCTCTCTTTTTGTTCTCCCCATCTCTCTCTCTCTTTTTGTTCTCCCCATCTCTCTCTCTCTTTTGTTCTCCCCATCTCTCTCTCTCTTTTTTCTCCCTCCCCCATCTCTCTCTCTCTCTTTTCTCTCTTTTTCTCCCCATCTCTCTCTCTCTTTTTGTTCTCCCCTCTCTCTTTTGTTCTCCCCATCTCTCTCTCTTTTTGTTCTCCCCATCTCTCTCTCTCTCTTTTTGTTCTCCCCATCTCTCTCTCTCTTTTTGTTCTCCCCATCTCTCTCTCTCTTTTTTCTCCCCCATCTCTCTCTCTCTTTTGTTCTCCCCATCTCTCTCTCTCTTTTTTTGTTCTCCCCATCTCTCTCTTGTGACGGTTACACACCTGGCCCAGTGTCGGATCCTTTGGTTACTGGCGCCAGCGGTGACGTCGCTCCTCCTGGTCGCTCCTCCTGGGTCCAAGCGTGCCGCTCCAACCCTTTGGTCAGATGATCACCAGCCTCGCCTTTCCCGACTCGCTTCAATACCTGGTCACTAAAAGCAACTATACCGATCTCCGGTCTGTCTACCCACGCTGTGTTTAGATCTTAGACAGACAGGACCAGCAGGGATCGGGGCCGATACAAGTTGAGTCCGGCGGGGGTGGCAAAACACAAATAAAATAAAAACTCCACGACACCAAACAAAATTGCTGATAAAAAGGGTAACAACCTTTTATATCTTAAAGTCCGTTACATAAAAACAAAATTGTTCTCAATTCCCGACCCGCTCTGTGGACTATGGCACCAAGCTTCTATCACACAATAGGAAAATGTCGAATTACCTACTTTCTAGAATCATGTATGTATGTCGGAGTGTGGTTCAGTTCGACACTGGGGCTAATTTCTATCGATCATTCGCAGTTGATTCTTCTCTCCGACTTGAGTTGTATTTCTTCTTCTTCTTCTACTTGGGCTGGAAGTTCTTCTTGTCTGAGGGTTCTTTTCTCGCTGCCGTCCGGGGATGAACTTTAACTTCTCATCGACTTTCGGCTTGTCTGCAGCTCCAATTCTTCTCAGGCTTTCAGGCAATCTTCTTCTTCGTCTACTTGGGCTGGAAGTTCTTCTTGTCTGAGGGTTCTTTTCTCGCTGCCGTCCGGGGATGAACTGATTTTTGTCGATTGGGGCCCTGCTTTTATTGACGCCGCAACAAACTGGGGTGGGTCTGTCGGCGTCAGGGTTTTCTCGATAATTCCAAAAACTGCATTAATTCTGTCTTCTCCATTATCGCTATTGTTTTCGCCCCTACTTCCTCGCAGTACCTTTGGTGGGGCGGCGCACATCCATCTCTCTTAGTCTCTCGTATGTCAGGTGACCGCTTTTCAACCAATCGTTCCTGATCGAAAGCATTTCCCTTTTCTTCCGAAGAGTCACGTGATCGTATTCGACCAATTGTTATTGATCAAACATTTCTTTCCCTTTTCTTCCGCAGGTCACGTTGATCGTATTCGACCAATTGTTATTGATCAAACATTTCTTTCCCTTTTCTTCCGCAGGTCCACGTGATCGTATTCGACCAATTGTTATTGATCGAACATCCTCTCCCCTCTGTTTGCGGGCGTGGTTACATCGTTCTTGTTTAAAAAAAACAAAATCAATTTTGCCCCTTTTGCACGTCACATAAAATGACAATCTTTTTTCTCTCACCTGGACTTTGTTAAACAGCCCGCTGCTAATTAGTCTTGACTTTAGAAAGGATCTTTTCCGCCTTCTTGGCGCCCTCTGTGAGCCAAAAGCAATTGTCCCTCTTTTTTACCTCTTTGTTTTACCTGATAGTCGAAAAATCTTAATTATCTACATTGAAATGTCTCTACTTTATTAACGTGGGTGTCCAATTCTTAACAGGTCTGTATATCGTTCCACCGGTCCTCCCCCAACCCAAAGACACTTTTTCCCTGATTGTTTCATTGTTCCCAAAATTTCTCTTTATCCAAATTGATAAGGTGTCTTTCCATGCAAAAGTAGGCTAGGTGCTCTGACCGACATTCTTACCAAAATGACTTTTCAAAATCGCCAAGACGCTGACCTAAATCTCTTTCTGACTCCTATCTCCACCCTCAATTGGGTCATGCGTCATACATTTCTCTTTCTTTCTTTTCTTCCCTTCCTTCCTTTTTCCTTTCTTTCCTTCTTCTTTCCTTAGGATCGTCTAGTACACTCTTAGTGAATTATTTTCAACTCAGTTATTTTCCGTTTAAAAAAAAAAAAATTAACAACCTGTTTAGTAACCGAGTAAGAAAAAATTAAATCATATTTCTATGAATATTTCTAATAATGCAAGGTGCCACACTCTCTCTCCCTGCCTCTTTTTGTTCTCCCCCATCTCTCTCTCTCTCCCTGCCTCTTTTTGTTCTCCCCCATCTCTCTCTCTCTCTCTCTCTCTCCCTGCCTCTTTTTGTTCTCCCCATCCCTATCTCCCTCCCCCAATTATTCATACACTATCACATGTGTGTACATGATCACAAAGGTTTCAGTATCATACAAGTGCATTAAATTTTGGGATGTTTCACTAATGTAAATTGGGAGGCATTGTTTGTTTGCTGAACTCCTGCTTCTGATGTGAAGTTAGCTCTCTCTTTTACATTGATTGAATTTTTAACTGCTTCCGAAATGCTTCGGATACGTTATATATTGAGATTGTTGGAATTTCTTTCAGGTTCTTTGTAGATAATGTACTGATTTTTTGTGTTGTCATTTGTATATTTTTGTCTTTTGTATTTTGTAAAGAAAAAAAATATACAAATATAAAAGGACTTAAGATTTAGCAAGAAAATCCAAGCATTTGTCATCCACCAGAAGAATTTGACCTGTGAAATTGTTTTAATATATATATCTTTGATTTCACATCCCTGCTTTTTCTATTTTATTTTCTTACACTCTAAAATTAATGTCAACCTCCTCCTGGTAGGAATCAAACCTTCACCAGGGAAAGTTAAATGCCATGTGTGATACATGCTTAGGCAATCCTGTATCTTTTGATACATGTCTTATGAGGCAGATTTTTTTCCCCACAGTAAGTTGCCATTTCTTTCTGTGGTAGACCAGGCCATAGAATCCAGTCTGTCCTGCTATTTACCCATAGCTGGTGGGAGAAGAGGGGGATTCATACCTTTCCCAAGGGTATTAGCACGTAAGTGAATGTAATGGATTCAACTAGAATTCAAACTCGGCTCCCCGATTCTTCAATCCGAGCCACAATTCTTAATTGGTAAAGACATTCTTGATTTATCTGAGCAGCTTCCTTGATTAAAAAAGAAATCCTGTTCAATTTTTGTTAGGAGATACCTTTTATATTTAGGACTACTCAATCTAGGTCAGTTGCTATTAATTTCCAAGTTTAAGAAAACAAAAACTTGGGGAGGTCAACTCTAACATATATGTTCACTCAAAATAACATTTATAGTCATAAGAAAAAACACACGTACATATATAATGTCAGAGGTCACATTGTGATATAATGTAGACATTAAAGATGCCTCTCTAGTGTCTTACCATCAGACTTACTTAAATCTTAAAGCAACAAAAACAGTCTCCAACTATCTTTTCATTTGTTTATTGGTAACCACTTCATGTACCTGGTGCGGGGGTGTTCTGTCCTTGTAGATAACCATCATCATTGTTCATAATTTTGTGTGTATATATGTAAAATTAATACAAATATCAAATTTGTCACTTAGCTGATTAGTGTTATTTTCAACATTCCAGCTCTAGAGTTTCATAGAGGGACCCTCCTGTAATCTCTCTGTCTGCTCATTGGAGAGAGAGAGATAAGCAGTTCATTTTATAGAAACAAATAAAATGAGAAATATATATAAACTGACTCTGTGTATGTGTGTTCACAAACTACTCAAGAACCATAAGGCATATTTCCACCAAATTTGGAACATAGATTGTATTCGATACTGGGTGTGTCTGGGCAAAAAAATTAGTCATTTTTCAAAAATCAATAACTGATAATTGATAAATATAATGTTTAAATGTGAATTTCCATTAGTTTGGTTGTTTTTAAACTTTCAGACTTGAAGTCTAAACCCTAAGGCCAATTTTAATGAAACTTGATAAGTATATGCAACTTACTGTCACGCTTATTATATGCTATATTGATTTTCATTTCTCTTGACACTGGGACCCCCCAGGGCACCCCAAAGGGACCCAAAAAAATTTTGCATGTTTGTTACGCTCTTACAATGTGATAGAAATCGGTTGTCAGATTATTTAAATGCATGAGGGGGCCCCCAGGATGACCCTATAAACCCCTTGATGCCTCAATTGCTTTTCAAGCAGTATTCCCTATTTTCAACGAAAATTTCAGTACATATTGAAATTATATCTAGTAACTGCAGTAGTCACTTGGAATTCACTGAAAATCAACACTGGGACCCTCACAAGTTAGGGGACCAGCAGGGAACCCCGAAATTTTCAATTAAGTCTACAGCCTTGGCCATAGTCGATTAAACAGAAAACTTAAAAAAGATGTGCTTTATTATTTCAATTACTATTACTCTTAAACCTGTCCTTTGGATTGAAATTTGGGACCCCTAGGGTGAACCAAAGGGACTCCCAAATTTTTAAATTGCTTCAATTTTGATGAAATTTTACATGTATGTTACAATCTTAAAATGAACCAAAAACGATTATCAGATTTTGAAAACTACATAAGAGGCCCCCAAGATGACTCATGCATCTTTCAATTGTAGTGGTTAGCAGCATTCTGATGAAAATTTGCACATAATTTGTTTTTAGATCAATCAACTCAAAATCAAAACTGACACCCCATGTATCATAAATACATTATGAAAAATATCAGTTTTCCCATGGATTTCCTGTTTTGGTACTGATATAGTTTAACTTTACGCCAAAAATTATATCCTTAAGAAAAAAAGTATAAGTGCAAACAAAAGTGTGCACCAATGAGAGAAGTGCATGTAGGCATAAGATGTGTGTGTGTGATCGATCGAGATGTGTAGTGTGTACAATTGCTTTTGCTCCACGTGCAATGATCGATCAAGTTATGTAGTGCGTACTATCGATTTTGCTTCACGTGTAGTGTTCATTAGTGCTATGTGATGAAATAAATGCAAAAATTTCATTCACATCAAAGTTGTCGTCCTGTAAAAAGGTAGGCTGCCTTCATGCATGTATATTTTGAATTTTTGATACTTTAAATTTGTGAAAATCATATTATTAAAAAAGTTTAAGCGTAAATGCCAATTTATAATTATGTATTTATCGTAATCTAATCAGCGTTTACTAACTTGTATATTTGGAAACTTGAGCCTTAAAATTTTGACAATTTTAATCTGAAAAATGCACTTATAATAATGTAAAGACACTCTTTCCATTCATTTATAATTATGCTAAACTTAGCATGTATGTTTTAACATTCATAGTGAGTAGGTTTCTAGCTGCACATTAATTTTTATTTTTATCACTAGAACGTTTTTTTGGTAGTCTATTTTTAGATAAATCCTAACTTTATGAGCTTGTTTACCACGTTCCTGTGGTCTCCCTTATAAACTTGCATTTAATTTATTGTGGCTAAATTTCAATTAATGTGTATAATATTCTTGCTTTTTAATTTATTACTTCATTGTTATTCAAAAAGCTTAGTCAAATCCCTCCAGCTACAGCCTTACAGTAATGCCAAGAAATCCTTCACTTGGTCGTGCTACTACTACAGCCAAACACATGAAAGCACGGAGAAGAAACGCTTTGCAACAAGAAACTCAAATTAGACTGACACAAAATGCTATTTGTACAGCTAATGCAAGGTCAGCAGAAACTAATGAGCAACAGTTAACTAGACAAGGAAGGAATGCTGCCAGAACTGTTGCTACTCGAGCTGTTGAAACTGAGGGGCAAAAAACAATTCTATACAGTCTTTGTGAACATTGGTTTTCAGCCTTGGCATGACTGCTAAGAGAAGTCTTTGTTGAATTTCCAATGTATGTTGTTCATTCGATGTAGTTTGAGCAAAAGATGTCAACAAAGCATTTCTCCTCAACAATTTTCGAAGATAGATTGCGATTAATGTACTCTTCATTTGCTGACAAATTTTTTTGTATCTTCTGTGCTTCTGTAAAAAACAACTTTCTGCTGTTATAAATGTTTTCACACTTCATGTCTTTATAATTTTTTGCCGTATAGATAAGAGGCACCAAAGAAAAATCTTCTTTATTTTAACTTTACAGATTGGATGAGGTTTGTGATCTTTTTTTGAATAAACCCAGGCAATGCTGCTAGTATATATATATATATATATATATATATATATATATATATATATATATATATATATATAGCAATCATATGGGAGACAAAGGAGAAAAATTAATTCTTTTAGTTATTCCAGCATTTTTCTATTTGGTGGGAGTAAGGGAGTGCAACAATTGTCCCAAGTGCTTATATCTATTTCCAAGCTGTCATGGAAACATCAGGTGATTTTAGACATATATATATCCCAGGAGTCCTTGCATTAAAATGGTATCATATTTGTGGACATCTGGATTTATGGATCACCCTTGCACTCATAAAAGGAAAAAAAAAAAAACGTGAAAGAATAAGCAATACTGCATCCTGTCTCCTAATAACCGTTACATTTGCATACACATTTAATATGCTTTGCCCCCCTATTATGGACAGTAGATTCTTTGTTAAATATTAATAGTTTGTTTTTTTTCTGTGGGAAACACTGGAGAGAGAGAAAAAAATGAGACAAATGGGAGGTTAATCATATTCTGCGTTTAGCAAGAGTGGCAAGTAATCCTAGAAACCTTTCCCAGTGCACTATTCATAGTACAAATGCCTGACTAGAATTTTGATAACAATCTGAAAAATCCTGTTCATATAGTTTATTGATCTAATCCACACAGATGTTTACCACTTATGCTGGTCTATGCAACTCACAAATCTTGGTCAGTCCTTTGTCTAAATTTCTTAATGGATGTTAATGAAAATTTCCTTTTAGTCTTCAAATTTATGCACACAATGACCAAAAGATTTTCATTTCTGTTCCATAAATCTAAATATTACAAAACCTGTTGATATAATATTCCATGACTCCTATAAGTGTTGATGTGCCTGTTCCCTTGCTGTTTTGTGACACTACATAAAAAGCGCAACTTTTTCAATCCTTCAAAAAGTCATGAGGAATGTAGAAAAAAAAAAATGCATTCTTGCTTTTGGAATATTTGATCTATCAGGTGACTATGACCAACAAACAGCCATCTGAAATTATGGTAACATTACCATTACTAAGTAAGCCATGTGCAAAGATATATTGGCACCAAGATCTAGTGAAGTATGTCTTCTTCTGTGTGCTGTCTCATTAGTACATGGTCGATCATGGCTTTCCAAAACTTCCTATCCTTTGTAGCTGCTATTCCTTTACTATCCCTAAAAAAAAACCATCTTCTGCAATTCATTTATACAAGTTTGTCAGGTAGTTACTCACTGTTTCCCTCTGTTACTTTTCAATATGTCCTCTGAGCATC